GCTACTTAGTGGGAGCAACTCTCCCTGCTACTTTGCCTAAAAAATTGTAACCAGCCCCAACATTTCACCCTCCTCTAAAGCAATACTTCCCAATTTATCCTCATCAATAAGAACATCTATTATGTTCCCCTACAGATCTCCCATTTTGCAACTGTATTTATTGAATAATTTTCATATTTTTAATTATACCCAACTACCAATCAGAAACCACAATTAGATGACAGAACCAGGAATTAGGTGACAACACTCAAACCAGAAACAAAGAAATTTAATATTTTAACCTTCTCATGGGCTAAAGTTTAAGTTTTATTGGGCTTTCTGAAACACTGAAAGCCTCTAAAGAATCTCAAGGACTACTGAAATTCCTTCAATCCTAAAAGCTGAGAAAACTGATTTTCTAACAAAGATGCTTTTTGCAATCACTAGAGTGCAGATCTGTCTTTTACTCATTAGTGCAAATTCTTTGTTTTTAACTAATAATTATTTACTATAAAATATAATCTATAATTTAGGGATAAATGGTAGCATATCACCAGATAGAATCAGCAAGGATTAGATTCAGTTTAGGATGTTAATCCCAGCTATCTTCTAGAATGATCCTGTGTAAATGCCTTGGTCTCTCATTGTTTTTTTGCTTTTCAAATATATTTAACCTGGCTGAAAAAGCAGTCTGAAAGAAAGCTCAGCAGGGCCCTCAGATAAAGCAGGAACTTTCTGGGTCGAAAGAAATAAACAAAGCATTTAAGAATAGAAAGAATAGATGTGTGGTCCATTTTTATTTTCAAATCCACTGAAAGGCATTTTGGGTTTTGGGAGTTTTGGTTTTCTTTTCCCTTTTTTTCTTACGTTGGTGGGCTTGTTCACTGGTGCTAAATGGAACAGCTTTATCAGTTGAGGAGACTGTCACCCTGACAAGGCATTACTGAACGCAGTGAAGCCTGACTTTGGATTCTGGTTTGGTACCTACTCCCCATCCTCTCAAGCCCTCAGTTCTTTCTTTCTAAGGAATTTAAATCTGCAGGTATCTTTAAGAAAACACTTATGGGTCAGAGTAACAGTGTCAAAATTTCACCATATTACTGCATTTTAAAGCCTGGAAAAAAATCACATTTCACTTGAAATCACACTGGCCCCAACAATCTGCACGAGTGATGTTGTCATAAGTTCAGAGGCTTAGGATTTCATAAAGATTACTCTAAGATATTCCTAACAATCTGAAACTGATTTGCCAAAACAGCAGCTTTTTCTAAAATGCTTTGCACTAAGCTTGCAATGAAGCTTTTATTCTTAGCAATTATCTTTCAAGAAGCACTTTAACAGCTTGCTCCTCCTCCACAGGAAATCATCCTAGGCACCCAGGTGAAAGGAGAACTTTTGTAAATTCAAAACAGTGCGTAGATCAGTGGTTCTTAACCCTGACTGCACATTAGAATCATCTAAGTAGCTTTTTAAAAATAGCTTTGCCCAGCCCTTTCTGATTAATTGGTTGGGGATGGGAAATTGGCATAGCATGAGGTCTGACAAGTAAGTTTGCAAACTCATCTAGAAAAAGTGCTACATACCTCATTGCTGAATATCACTATAGTCACCTTCGAAGTACTCCCCTTCGGAAGCTATGCACTGACACCAGCGCTTACTTAGTCCACCCTTCAAAGCAATTTTGGAACTCTTTTTCTGGAATGGCCACCAGAGCTGTCATCGTATTACCCTGCATGTCCTGAATGTCATCAAAATGTCTTCTTTTCAATATTTCCTTTATCTTCAGGTAAAGAAAGAAGTCATTGGGGGCCAGATCAGGTGAGCAGGGAGGGTGTTCCAATACAGTTACTTATTTACTGGCTAAAAACTCCCTCACAGAAGGTGCCGTGGAAACTGGTGCAAGAGCTCGTGATGCAAGAGCTCCTTCAGGACCTTTTTTTTTTTTTTAAAGAATTTATTGGGGAATTGGGGGAGGGGAACAGCGTTGGGGGATCAGGGAAGGGGAACAGACAAGTTGCTGTCCTTTTTCGTTCTTCAGTCTCGTTGTGGAATACGTCGCTTCACTGGCCCACGTTGGTATTCTCATTATGCTCTTCCCTGGTGAAGCAGTTGCTCGCCGGCAATTGGACGGAAGCTCACGGTAGCTCACGAAAGTTCATGAAATCTCATGCCAGCTGCCAACCAGCCCCACTGCAGCCTATGCCATCACCGGTGACTCATAGCAGCCCAGCTCCAGGTGGAGCTGTTGTTCACCATCTTAGCTGTAGAGGGCACAGTGTCACTGGCCCTCATGTGGGATCCAAACCGGGACCCTGCTGCTCAGACCTGGCTTCCCAAGCCAGCTCTTAACCAACACGCCACTTGGTCGGCCCGCTTCAGGACCATTTTTGCACACACCTTTCTCATGCCAAGATTTTCAGTTAAGATTTTTCCTAACTCTATCGATGTTTACTTGGTCTGCTATGCTTCTCACAGTCAGCCAATGATTTTGACACACAATTCAACAAATTTTTGCAATGTTTTCATCAGTTCTGCTCATTACTGGCCACCCTGACCTCTCTTCATCAGCGACGTGTTCTCTTCCCTCAGAAAAACATTTAATCCATTTGTACACTGCCGTTTTCTTCATAGCATTATCCTCATAAACTATGACTACCATGTCCCTGATTTCACTTCCACTCTTGCCAAGTTTCACAAAAAATTTAACGTGTGTTGGTTGCTCTAATTCAAGCTCAGACACTTTCACGATGGCACACAAAAACATACAACAGCAATACTAATGAACGCCATTCAGCAAGACACCACCACATGTTGACACGAACACAGCTGTGAGACACTGATATACCAAAGTTATGAAACCTTACCGAGCTGTTTGTACAGTGTTGTCAATGTAAGCGCACGGTGGCACATTCCCAAACTTAATTGTCAGACCACGTATGTATGTCTTAAAAGCTCCCTAGATGAGTATAACATACAGACAAGATTAAGAACCATTAGCTAGGGTGGCCAGTTAGCTCAGGTGGTTAGAGCACAAGCTCATAACACCAAGGTTGCCAGTTCAATTCCCACATGGGCCAAGGAGCTGCACCCTCCACAACTAGATTGAAGACAACTACTTGACTTGGAGCTGATGGGTCCTGGAAAAACACACTGTTCCCCAATAAAATTAAAAAAAAAAAAAAACCATTAGCCTACAAGAATGGCTTGGACACAGTTTCCATCAATACATTTCTTTTAAGGACTTAATATGAACCAAAGGCTGTAAAGCACACTCTCTTCAGCCCAAGGGCTGATAATAAAATTTATAAAAAAATTTTAAAAATTAAAAACTTGAAAATCATATTTACAAATTATTTATGTAAAAATAAAATGTCTCCTTTCTGGGCTGGCCGAGTGGTGCATTGGTTAAAAGTTCCCTTGGGAGCGCGAGATCTGAGCAGCAGGGCCGCTGGTTCAGATTCCACATGGGTCAGTGACACTGCCCTCTACAGCTAAGACGGTGAACAACAGCTCTACCTGGAGCTGGGCTGCCGTGAGTCACCGGCGACGGCATAGGCTACAGTGAGGCTGCAGTGGGCTGCTGTAAGCTACCGTGAATGGCAGGCAGCCAGCGTGAGCTGCCAGCAGCGTGAGCCACCATGAGCAGCCATCCAATGCCCGGCGACCAATCTGCCTCACCCAGGAAGAGCGCAATGATCACAAAACCAACATGGGCCACTGAAGCGGCATCCCCCAATTCCCCAATGCTGTTCCCTTCCCCCAACTCCCCAATAAAAATCTTTAAAAAAAAAAAAGTCTCCCTTCCATGATCCTTTTCACTAAAGCCACATTCAGGTCTGCTCTCTGGATAAAGTCTCCTAAGTCACATCTAGGCTCTCTGTAAACCACAGAAATGTTCCCCAAAATCCCAATATTTCAGCACCCATACTGATCTCCCAGACTGCCTCCTATACCTTGAACAGTACAAAAATTTTTGTCATATCACATTTTTACTACTTGGTTTTAAAAAATAACACCAGATCTACTTGTAGTGTCATCACCTTCCTTTTTTTTCCCCCCCTATCTAACCTTCAAAGGCCACAAGTCCCTTTTCTCCATAAAGTCTTCCCAGGTCACTTTGGGCTCCATTGATTTCTTCCTAATATGAATTTACAGTCTCAACCACTTCTTTGGCATCTGTTATACTGCTATTTAACCTTTCATCCACTTTGAGGCCTGTTTGCCTAACCACTTTAGGCAAAGAACTACTGCCTATACCTTTTATTTGTATCACGGTTACCAGAACAAAGGCTCTCACAATATATGTTTGGGTTTCCACTACCAAGTTAGAACTCCAGCCCCCTTTACTTCTCCAACTCCTTCCATTGAGCTCTCTCCTTAACTCTAAAACTCCCTTTTAATCCGACTATGGCATCCATCCTACCAAGCATTCTAAGATACTATGATTGACTTTTGCATTTTGAGATTCTACAACACGTGCTAAACAGAAACAACCAGATTCCTGTCGTCAGTGAGTGGTTTTGTTTTGTTATTGCTTTTTTTTGGGGGGGGGGGTTGTTTTGGTTTTGTTTCGCTGTTCTGACTGCTTATCTCCTTTACAGCTTTCTTCTTCCCTTCCCTCAAAATCTCAAGTACCTTTCTATGTGGACAACTGCCACAAACAAGGCTTCTTTCCAACCAGCACCTGACTTTTAATTGGTCCCATTCCCTCCTCCAGGGCCCATTTCTAAGCACCCATTCTCTTTTCTAAGATGGCTGCCACGAAGCTCAGGGAAGGCAGTGCGCGTTCCACCCACGCAGGGGCACTATCACTCTGGAGTCCAGAGGCAGACAAGCTAAAAGATGGGTGGTGGGGAAGCAATGAGCTAAAAGTGGTTGGGCGGGAGCGGTGACCTGAAGAATGGGAAGGGCCAGAGCAGGGAGCGCCCTGAACACTCCGCTCAGCACCCGGCACACGCGAGAACCCAGACCTACGTCACAGGAAGTGGGGGCCCCACCCCCTAACGGAGAGAGCCGGAAGTGAGCGTTGCTAGAGCGCGGTTGTGGAGCAGAGGCTACCGTCGGCAGAGTGTGTCGCGGCTGAGGTAGGAAGGGCGTCCATTCCCTGGCTTGGCGCCTCCAAACAACTCGCCTTTAGTGTGCTGGGATACCTTCACCATCTAATAGCTTCTTTTTTCGGCCCACAGCCTTTGGCCGAGTGGGTTTTCAGTGCAGCTGTTTTGGCTACCGGTGGTTCCCTCACCGCTTCGTCCCCTCGAGGGCCTCCTTAGTCTACATTCAAGTTAACCACTTTCCCACCTCTACCTGTATAGTCCCGTTGCTTAAATCTACTCTGAATGCTGTGTTTAAAGGAAGAAAAAATATTTTACTGAGCCCCCAGCTGTGTTTAACTAGTTGCTTCAGATTTCATCAGCCACCAAATCCCCACAGCTTTGTGTAATTTGTCCATTTCACCACGTCTAGTACTAGGGAAAAGGTAAAGATCACCTGTTAACAGTTCTTTGTGAAAAATATTTAAGTGGACAAGGCTGAATAATAAAACTATTGATTCCATTGCCCTTTTGTCAACCGAAATTGGCCTTTATGCCCCCAAAGGATAGGGTGGCATCCTACAAGTTGCTGAATTTAGTGCTGATCACTTTTCTAAATGCCTTAAAATCAAGGAACTTAATACTTGGTTTTTCCTTAAAACCTCTTCTATTTTTATTGAAAAAGCATAAAGTAACTATGTATAAGTAAAACATAATAAAAGGAAAGTCAGAATTTCTGAATCCAGACATGAAAAATATTTTTTTAACGACAGTTTCTCTAGTGATTGTAATTAACAAATAGGTTCTACAGCAAATTACTAAACTAGAGTTCCAGCTGATCACTTGTATTTCCTATCATGGATTCCAAGGCTGCTTATGTCATAGAATGGAGGGGAAGGGGTGTGGAATTGTATGAGAGTCCAAAGGAGAGCTTGCTCTAGAGACAAAGGCTGTAAAATCTAGCCAATTTGCAGACGTTTCTTATGGATCTGGTTTTATATAAATTTAGTTTTTTCTTATAATGATGTTTATTTAATCACAGTGCTCAATAGGGGGATCTGCAGTAGAAGAGGATTCAAACTACAAAACCATTTCTTTTAATCCACATTTCTGTTACAGATTTGTTCGTTTAAGACTGTGTTATCCATAAAATGGGCAGTTCTTAAATCCTAACGTTCAGCAGTTTTCCCTCAATACATAGAGGGAATGAGCGTTAACTGGAGGGATTAAGTAACCAAATCTGTTCATTTTTGCATAGGAGATTGGAGACAAAGAGAAGGTGAAGCATCACTGGAAAATATGGAGCATTTCCTGACCATGTTCAAGAAAAGTCATAGAAATAGTAAACTAAAGTGTCTTTGGACTTATTGGATGGATTAAGTGTATATAGTTTCTGTCCTAGGCTTCCAGAATTCCCAGGTCCCAGAGGGGAGCAAGACAGGCAACCTGCCCATCCTGTTTTTTATTAAGAGCTTGAGAGGAGAGCTTTAAAATCGTACCCTATTTCTATGTTTATCTTGAAGTTTAAATAGTATTCTTGTGGTCTTGCCCTCGCTAATATTAAATAACATCAAGCTCTAATACATGGTAAAGAGCGACCAGCCATTGTAATGGCACTTAAAATAGACTGACATTTTATCACCTCAGTACAGTTTAAATTAGTAGTCATATTTGGTTTTTCTTAACTATTGGATTGTCAGAAACATCATGACATATTTTTTCTCTGTTTTTCATTGCAAAAATGCGTCATGACTTTTCCAACAACCCAGTATTTATGAGCCCTAGAATTTATTCCAAGAGTGTGAATTAGGCAATGATTTGAAATGCTTCAAAGTAGTAAGGAATGCTTTAAAGAGGGAAAAATGTTTGGGGGAGGGGGACACTAGGGTTTCTTATATCGAACTTGGATAGCTTCGATTCCAGTTTAACTCCATCTCTTAGTGCCACCCTTTGGTACATTTCATTTCTAATTCCCTGAATCGTTGCTTTTTTTTTCCCTCCAGCACTTGGATTCGGCTCCTTCATTTCCAACATGGAAGAAACTTACCGTATGTACTTCTTATTGCTTTTAGAATATAAGTTAAATTACATACATATAGTTTTATGTCTGACAAGATTTTTAATGTGTGGAAAATGTTCATATTTCTCCTAAACCTGCTGAGGAGAAAAGGTCTGTCTGGTAGCAATGTAGAGAAGTGCCAAAATTGGAAATAAGACACTTGAAATTTAAATAGTTAAAGAGGTATAAAAAGTTATTAAGCTTTGAAAAGGCTGCAGTTGGGACACCTATGTTAAAATATATTTTTATTAAATAAAGCGTTTTAATTTCTCAGGACTTCAGTTTCTCCTGTTAATGACACAGGTATAGTAACCTGTTTTCTGTCTATTTTGAGGAATAATATGGTATACTTAAATTTGTTGATGTACATTGAGTTTTTAGGATTAAAGAAATCCTAGGAACGATCTTATCCCTCAAGTGATTTAGGAACCTTAGATGGCCCAAGAAATCAAAAGGGAGCCAGCACTAGAATCATACAAGTGTAGAACCAAAAGAAACCTGAAAAATCATTTCATCTAACACTCAAATTTTACACCTGAGAAAACAGAACCTAGATTAATTGATTTGCCCAATGTTCCATAGTTAGATAGGGACAGAGTGAGAACCAGAGTCTTATATATTTTTATTTGTAGTTCCCTACTTGATACCACAAGGTATTATGATTTCTAGGCCCTGACCAAGTTTGAGAAACGTCCAAGCCAATGAGTGGATGAAACTTGTCAACAGGTCCTACTTTGTTTCCTACTTTGCTGTCTTGTTCAGAATCTCTTTATAATTCGTAATAAGTTCCAACCAAAGGATATTTTAGTCCCATTCTGCCTTCAAGGAAGAGTCCAATAAAATCTTCATCACCAACATATAGAAACTACATGGAAATAGTCTTTATTTTACAGAATTGTACGCTTGAAACCTATGTAACCTTACTAACCATTGCCACCCCAATAAACTTTAATTAAAAATATATATATATCTGGGTCGGCCAAGTGGCGCGTTGGTTAGGAGCTAGCTTGGGATGACAGGGGTCCCCGGTTCGGATCCCACATATGAGGGCCAGTGACACTGCCCTCTACAGCTAAGATGCTGAACAACAGCTCAACCTGGAGCTGGGCTGCCGGGAGTCGCTGGCAACCGCGTAGGCTGCAGCCCCTGTGGCAGTGGGTTGCCATGGGCTACTGTGTGTAGCCAGCAGCCGCAGTGAGCGGCTGTCCAGAAGCCGGCGACTGATCTGCCTCGCCTGGGAAGAGCGCAATGATGGTGCCAACTTGGGCCAGTGAAGCAATGTCCCCCACAACTAGACTGAAGAACAAAACGATGGCAGCTTGTCTGTTCCTCTCCCCGCAATTTCCCGGTGCTGTTCCAATTCCCCAATAAAAAAAATCTTGGGGGAGAAAAAAATTAAAAATATATATATATATATATATCTTTTTATATCTTTATAAAAAGATATATATATATATCTACAACAAATGTTCTCAAACTTTAGCATGCAGCAGAATCATCTGAGGGGCTTATTAAAACACAGGTTGCTAGACCCCACCCACAGAATTTCTGATTCAGAAGGTCTGAGACCCAAGAATTTGCATTTCTAACATGTTATCAGGCGATGCTGCTGGTCTGAGGACCACACTTTGAGAATCGTTGATCTGGAAGGCTGATTCTCCTTAAGCCTCCTTAGGGCTCCCTCCCTACCTCCTTAATTTTTCTTAAAATATTTTAATTAAAATCTGAAATTTCATGTAAGATAGATTTTATTCATTCATTCACTCATTCATTCATTGGAAGCTTACAACTCTATTAAATTAGAAAGCAACCTCTCCCCTTTGTCTCATTCTTAGCTACTTTTTTCAGCCATAATTATTTTTAGAAAAGTATCATCTGGGAGTGTGTTAGAAATGCACAATCTCAGGCCCCACCTCAAACCTGCTGAATGAGAGTCTGCATTTTAATATAATCCCCAAGTGATTTAACACCTGGGGATCATTTTAAAGTTTGAAAAAGGATGCTTTAGAATATACTTGACCTTCTTCCCAAATTGACTTAAAATCCTAACCTTAGTCTGATAGATTCCTGAAGATCTCCAGCTTCTGTCTTTGGGCTATACCTCTTAGCTGATGATACTTTCATCAGGTCTAGTTCCTTATTTTCATAAAGTTTCCCCCCATTTCTCATCATGAGTTCTAGGCCCTACCCAAGTGTAAGGAACATCTGAGCCTGTTCTCTGAGAGGAAGCTTGTCCACAGGGCCTATATTTTGTTTTCCAAATTAAGTTACATTCCCAGAAAGCCAGATAAAATTTTTGCCAAGCCGTTTGATAGTATTTATTATAACATTAAATGTACAGATACTTCAATGTAGCATTCTTCGGTATCTGCCAAAGACAAATACTCATATAATGCACAAAGAAGTATATACTATATTGTTAGTCACACTTTGTATATCATAGTAAACCGGATGTCCATTAGTAAGGGAAATGATTAAGAATCTATGGTACATCCATTTGCAGCAATGAAATATTCTTTATATATACTGACATAGAAGTAGCTCCAGGACATATTAAGTAATAAAGAAAAGCGAATAACAAAATACAATAGGTAAAGGAAATCCCATCACATACTACAGTATGGAGGAACCTTGAGGACATTATGCTAAGTAAAATAAGTCAGTCACAAAAAGACAAACACTGTATGATTTCACTGTATGATGAAGCATCTAGACTAGTAAAACTCAGAAACAAAAAGAATAGTGGTTGCTGTGGGTTGGGTGGAGGAGGGAATGGGGAGTTCTTTAATGGATATAGAGTTTCAGTTTTTCAAGATGAAAAATTTGTGGAGATTGGCTGCACAACATTGTGAATATTCTTAACATGACTGCACTGTACACTTAAAAATGGTTAAGATGGTAAATTTTATGTTGTATATATTTTATCACCAAAAAAATTTTCAATCTCAAAAAACAGGTTAGAGCTGACTTAAGTGACCAGAGACCAAAAATTAAAGCATTATGATAGTAAGTTATCATTATCAACTCTGATGTATGCCACTGTATGAGCAGTACAATGTATATGAATCATAAGGCACGTCCAATCTGTCAGCTGTTGAGATGGCCCAACATTTGCTAGTGATGGAATGGATTAAATGAAAGGAAACTAATAAGAATTTTATCTGTAAAGTCCTAAAGCTTCAGAAATATGAAAAGATTGCTGGTCAGGATGAGCCTGGTTGGCATAATAAGCATGCCTGTCCTCTAAGATTTTTCCTCCCTATTCATTCTGTCCTTCAAGTCACCTTTCTGGCTCATTTGCATCACGATCATGGTTAGCAATTTATTCCATGTTTACCACTCTTCCAGTGAAACTGTCTGTTTCAATTCCCCTCTGGCTTCTGATTTTCATGGCAGTCTCCTGGTTTATAAGCTTCTTATCAAATGTGAATTGTTTATCTTATTTCACTTTTATCATTGCCTTTAGTGGGGCAAGAGCATTTTATTAGGTAGCCTCTTTTCCTCAGAATGTGCTTAACCATTTAATTTCCTATTCTTAACCAGGTTTGTTAGAATTTGGGGCTCAGCCTGGGCACCTTGTAAAGCCTACGGGCGATTTTACACATTTAGAGAAACTTCTCTGAGAGGCATGTTCAGAGAAATTTCCATAGTTCCAAACTATGAAAATGACCCCTGAAAATATAGTCTTCTAAGGGTAGTTTTAAATAGCATAATATAGGTTAGGGGCTTTCTTGTACACAGCAGCTTCATATGTCTGCAGTTGTCTTAACCTCAGGAGGTTCTGTTTCTGCAGATGATTCTGTTTTTTAATCTGGCTCATTTGATGATCACTAGGTTAAAGAATTCTGATTTTTTTCTCATCTATGTGTCAAAATATGAAAAGTAAAACCACCTATCTGATAAAGGCATTGGTTTCACTTGAGAGGTAACTGAAGTAACCAAGATCAGGAGCTACTTATAGTAGTAAGTTAAAGCAGACACATGAAAAAGAAATCATCTATCAACTAATATTTCTTAAGCTTCAGAGAACATATAACTGATATAGAGCAGTGCTTACTATCTCTTTTCATGTCATGGCATATGAATAAATATACAGGGATGCTGGGAAGGGGATTAACTACCCTCAACTTGCCCTAGGACTGGCACACGTGCAGAGGACCCTGCATCAATATATTGGCACACCATCTATTCCATTCTTCAGCATACTGGTTGGGAAGCTTTGGTTGGGCTAGCTAGAATAGGAATTACCCTGAATTAGCATTTTTAGAAAAGGAAAAAAGGATGTGATTTCGTTTAACTTTTTGTTTTACACTAAGGGTAACCAACAATGAAAACAACAATATTTAAGTACAACCAAATATGAACTAAGTCCTCATCTCAAGATTGATGGTTTTGCTGGACTTATTAAGATTTGGTGATAACAGTTTTATCGTTCCAGGGTTACATTTTCATTTTCAAATATTTAGTCACCCTTTTTTAAAAAATTCCAAGTTGTTGTCAGACTGTCTTGTTCTATTCTTACAGATTCTGTTGGAAAATACAATGTGCCTAAAATGCTGTAGTTTTACAAGGTCCTGTTAAGCTTTATACTTATCCTGTTTCTCTCTCTTTCAGTCGATTCACTGGACCCTGAAAAGCTAATACAATGCCCCTATGATAAAAACCACCAGATCAGGGCCTGCAGGTTTCCTTATCATCTTATCAAGTGCAGAAAGGTAGGGTATTATTTTCATAATATGCCCTTTAATGCTGTTCTGAATTCGTCTAAAAGGCCAGATTTTATAAATATCAAATAATTTTAACATAAATGATTTAATTGAATGCCAGAATTGTTTTTGGAATCTACCTTTGAATATACCAATATTTATAGAAAAGAGCTTGTTTATTTCTTGGATACATAAGTTTTTTCTTGTTTTGGCTTTTTCCCCTAACTAGTGACAAAGCACCCTTTATAAACAACTTCTCTGGAGTCTTCTCACCCTTTGTAAAACAGAGGAAACACTAATTTTTGCTAGCAAAGAGAAATCCCTCTTGCTTTGTGAATTTGGTGTGTTCATCATCCTGATAAGGATTGAGTGCTATATATAATACATTGATTTCTGATTTTTTTTTTGTTTAGAAATTTTAGAGAAGTTGAACAGCTAGAGGTTATCCCAAGTAAAGATTATTCCTAATAATAAATGTTCCTCCAAATTTCAAGAGTAAGCATTTTTTGGGGGGAAAAAAACAACTCATCAGAGTTTTTTTTCTGGTGCTCTTTTGTAGACTTAGCTGATAAAAACTGCTTTAATGCTGGTATATTAACTGAGGCACTTTGAAAAGATGATTAGAGTGCAGATGTCAGATACAGAGGCCAAAATTCTGCCAGGATTTATGCTGGGAAAACAATTTTAGAATTTAATCCAAACTACGTACTATTTATGTGTGTATTAACATCCTTGAAAGGATTTTTCTCTTACAATCCTGGAGACATGATTATAATGTCATTTTTTATTATTTCTCCAGCTCTTTTTAATCTTTTGAGCAAAAAACCGCTTAAGGTTAAATTTGGACAATATCGGTCAGAAGAAACCACCACAACTTCCTCCCCTAGACTCTCAAATATGTCAGCAATAAAGGTTGGGAAAGGGAGCCACGCAGTAAAAAGACGTTGTCATAACCCCCCTCTTGTAATGCTCTTAATCTTTGCATTGGGATGCCTGACAACCCTTATGAAAATCGTGGAGATAAACGCCCACAGAATTTTCCCCACCTTCTGTTTTTTTTCAAGCCTTCTCCCCATTTCACATTATTTTTACTTTTTTGAGTATCATTTGTGACATATCTTTTGCTTCTCCTAAATAAATTTCTTAATTGCTCATATATTTTCCATAGGATTTGGGTGATAGTGAACACTTTGTTTTGTTTTAAAATAAGGAACTTGGTCAGCAGAGTAGTCTATCATTTGTGCTTTTCCTTAGTGAAAGAGCTGAAATAAAGGTCAAATTGTTCAGAGCCTCACTTCAGGCATCATTACTTTCAATAAGTGTTCCTGTGTTAATCCAAAAAAATCATTGGTTGCCTCTTCTGCAGCTCCCTTCCAGCAGCTATTTTCAAGCCTATTGTATTGCAATAGCAGGGGCACTCCTGCAGTGCAGACTAAGAGTGTGTTTTAGTGTTACTGTTCATCCTGAATATCAGCTTTCAAAGACATCCAGAGAGCTCTACCATTACAGGCTGTGCCACCTGAATCTTGTGACCCTGAAGAACAGGGAGAGAAAATACTGTTCAAATACCCAATCCTAAATCTGCTGTTTACCTCCATTAAGATGCTTTAACCCCCCAATACCTGTGTGTCAGTCTCGATAATCATAACAAAGAGGCTTATGTTACGATGGTTTTGAGGTCCTGTATGGTCTGTATGAGTGACAAATAATTCCCTTAATTTTCTACTATGAGTTTACCAATCACAGTTAAGGCAGAAGTGTTTTGAGAGAGTTTAGGGGAGCCATTTATAGAATAAAGCTGAGCCACACGCCCCTTGAACTTTTAAGAGATCCAAAGAATTGACAGACCCCTTAATTTTTGTTCCACAGAATCATCCTGATGTTGCAAATAAATTGGCTACTTGTCCTTTCAATGCGCGCCACCAGGTTCCTCGGGCTGAAATCAGTCATCATATCTCAAGCTGTGATGATAAAAGTTGTATAGAGCAAGATGTTGGTAAGACTGACCAGCTAAAATGTTTCAGGGCTAGAAGTTAGCTCCTTTAAATTTGTATTATGTTACATTGTCACCTTGATTTTTGTCTTTCATCATTTAAGAAGAGCAGTACTTTTCAGCAGTGGAAGGTTGTCAGGTTTGTCAGACTGCTTTCTCGTCTGCACAACCTGATTCATTTTACTAATAATTCATCTAAATATAAAAATCCTTTTCTTACCATAAATATAGGAAACATCTCTGTTTCTGCTTCTCTTTCTCGTCCTCTGCCAGCAAGGGGATAAGACCATTCTACTTATCTTTCATACCATCCATTTTTCAGAAACAAAGACCCGTTAGGCTACCCTGCCACCTCTTTAGCCACTAATCCCTTTAAATATAATAACTTGGCAACGTCCCGTTTTGATGTTAGAATCTGTTGTCTTGCAGTCAACCAAACCAGGAACCTTGGACAAGAGACTCTGACTGAGAGCACATGGCAGTGCCCTCCTTGTGATGAAGACTGGGATAAAGGTGAAGTGCCTCTCCATTTTTTTCTTCACAATGTCTAAATCTCGAGTCATTTGCTTTAGATAGAAGGAAAATTTTCCTTTTTTATGAACATACGTACCATGTTGTTTGGAATGCTTTATTATTTTTATTGGGCCCCAAAACGAGCACATTTGTATCGCTGTGCAGACACGTGGAACAGCCTATCCCTCTTGATTGGAAAAAGCACTTCTTTACATCTGTTTTTTTCCATAAATTGTGTTGTACCATCTGTGTTTGGCTGTTACTAGGCACGTTTATTATTATTTATGTCGCTCATGTTTATATTCTTCAATTAAATTCCTGCTACTGTGTCACTTAGGCAGGGTACTTGATCAATTTTTACTTGCTTCTCTAAACTTAGGTGTATTATTTTCCATCTTACAAATTCAGCTAACATGAACTGGTATCTTGTACCACAAACTATATTTTTCTTCCTTTGGCAGATTTGTGGGAACAGACCAGCACCCCATTTGTCTGGGGCACAGCCAACTACTGTGGCAAAAACAGGTAAATGAAATGGTCTCATTCCCAGCCAGCACTGCCTCCCAAAATCAGTGTGCTTTGTTACCAAAAGAAGCCACCAAAGCATGAATTTACTTTTTTCTTTGATGATGTAACTTGGTGGTAACTTAGTCTAGATATTGTTTTGGTGAACTTTTTTCTTCTTTCTTCCTTGATTCATCAAAAAGGTCACATGCTTTGTGTTAATCACTGTGGGAACACAAAAATAGTAGCTTCTAAAAGTACAGCTTAGGGCATATGGTGAATGGTATTGTAATAGCTATGTACGGTGTCAGAGGGGTGGTAGACCTGGGAGGGTTATCACTTTGTGAGGAGTATAAATGTCTAATCATTATGTTATTGTGTTCACCTGAATTAATTTTTTTTAATTTTTTTTTAAAAATGCTTGTAGTTTAGCAGGGCAGACAGTGGTGCCAGACATTCTTTTGTCTCAGTTGTTTTTTTTTGCTAGGTTCACATTATTTTGATGCTTTGAAAAAAATTCTCCAGCTATACCACATGGATCATTTTTACTCTCAGTAACTAGTATCTAAGGAAAAAGTAACCTTAAAAGTTTTTTATTTGAATCCAGAATACCTATTGGGTAGGGAAGAAAAATGCATCTCTTCATTCCCACTGAGTTTGTATCTGATTTTTAAATCTATAAGATATCTCATTATTACTTAATCTTCAGACCTTAGAAGATCAAGTTTCAGACCGAAATGAGAATATTTCTGAGTTAGAAAATGAAGGAATGAGATGCTGGACTTCATTTTTTTTCCCCAAATAGAAAGCTTAACAATTTTTATTTCTTAGCTCCTGAGGTCAGTTAGTAATTGTAAATGTACCTTATTTTGTGTGTGCACTAAGATAGAAAAACTTAAAGATGAATTCCATTTGGTACAATTTTAATTTTGCCTCAACTCTAAGAGATTTGTTGCCTTTGGTTTGATTGTCTTGACATTTTATTTTATCTCTTATGTTTATTGAGTGAGTTGATGAGCCTGTCATACAACTGAACAGTAGATGGCATTGCTGTTTATCTCAATTTCTGGAAAATGAAAAGGCTTAGACCCATCTTAATGCCTGCACAGAACAGTGAGCTTTCCAGAGAAATAGTAATCATTCTCATTGCAAGAATGTTTTGATAGAAATGTGTTTACATTTCAGAATGTAGGTTTTTGTTTTCCCTCAAATTACAAAAACAATACACTTGATTGTCTTGTGTGTGCCTGCCTGAAGAATACAGATATGCTGGCATAGTTGAATTCATCTTTCTTTTTGCAGCCCTGCAAGCAACATAGTCATGGAACATAAGAGTAATCTGGCTTCAGGCATGCGCGTTCCCAAGTCTCTGCCATATGTTCTGCCATGGAAAAACAGTAAGTGAAATGAGGCAACATGCTTTTATTCTTTTCTTTGTACTAATAAACAGTCTTGATTATTCGAAGACGTGTAGTCTAATACCATGCACTGTCATAACCCAGAGAGAGTGAGTACCTCCTTAAATTTGCACCCTAAGCACCTCGCTCACTTTACCATAGCCCTGGCCCTGATTAGTAACAGGAACATACAAGATCACAGAAACCAAAAGAATATTTTCAAGATGGTGTTACCACTGACATTAAATATGATGAGTAAATTTGGGGGGGACCAATAAAAAGGCTATTGATTTTGGCTAGGAGGAAGTCATCCCTGACTTTCAAGGCATAATATCAATAGGGAATTGGGATTAGGAATCGGATTGCAGGGGGCTAAAAGGAAATGTGTAGAGAAAAAATGAAAGTATGAGTCATAATAACCAGCATAAGAAGACTATTTAGGTGTCTTCCCTAGACATCAAGAGACCATGCTGAGCAAACAGATACTAAATTTGTATCATACCACCCTAGTAAAGAAATTCCAACATATGGAGCACCCAAGATATCGTCATTTTTATTTAATATAAATTTTCTTTTCCTAATGTTGCCCCAAATTCAGATTCCCTTAGTTTAAGCCTTTGCTACTGTTTGAGTTAATTTTTAGGTGGCTAGAGGATTCCCTTTTAAAATGTTCCCTTTGGATACTTGCATTTCCCAACAAATGAGATCACCAAATCATAGCCAGAAGGCTTTGATAGGCAAAGAACTATTTTCTTTTCCCATGCTCTTGGGTAGAATCCAATCACTAATTTTAAATTCTTCTACTTTTATATTGTAATTCATTATGCCCCAGAATAAGTCATTTGTGTTTAGTAAGAATAGGGGATGGAGTGAATTTCAATTGACATGATATATTTATTTTGAAATATTTCTACTCTGTAGATGGAAATGCACAGTAACTGAATATCTCATCAAGTAAGTGTTTCAGTTTTATTTCACTGTCTCTTCAGATGGTAGCAAGATTTAACTGGACATAAAGCAATTTGGGTCCAATTTTCTTTCAGATTATGGTAACAAATTAAAGCTTTGTGTGTGCCTATGTTTTTTAAGTATATAGCTTATATTATGGCTTTACACACTAATGAATAGGCATTTACTGGTTAAATTAGAATTCAGTTAACATGCCAAGTTGCTTTCCCTAATGTTAGTACACATTGCCTTTTTCCTTCTTTTTTTTTTTTTTATCAAAGTTATATTCTAGATCTATCATGCCTCTTTAATGGACTGAGATTAATCAGACAACTGTGCTTCACTGCTCTGCAATTCTTTCCCTGTGCATACTTCTGATGAGTTTAGCACTCATCAGAAAATACATACTCTTTTTAATGAGCACTTAAAAGTTTGAGGTCTCTAAGAGTCATGCACTGTTGATCTTATCTGAACAACACAAAATGTGAACAACACAGAACCTCACAAAATCTATATGAAGAGACCAAAATCTTTCACTTTTCACAGACAAAGCCTTTCCTTGAGGTTACCCTGTGTACACATAGCAGAGCCAAGTCTGATGCTTCAAATGCTATCTTGGCTGAGGTTGCCCAACCACATGGCTCCTGGCAAAAGGGACATTATAAAGACCGGAAACGGGATTATAGCCCACTGCCTTGCAGATAGTAGGCCCTCAGTGAATATTTCTTGAATGAATAATTGGCCTGTTGCCTTCCAGTTCACTCACTTCCTCTGGACAGTGAAGCAGATGGATCTTCTGTGAGTTAAGGTTCATTTTGTACCAAAACTGATGCTGCTTCTGGTGAGAAGTAGAAAAGAGATTCTAAAAGCGAACTCCCCTTAGCTATGGACAATAATATCTGTTAGTTGCTTCTAGGTGCCAGTCATTTTTCTTGGTAGGTTCTGATGTCAAACTGTTAAATACACCTGGAAGTCAGAAAATTGCATTTGACCCCAGAAGGGAAAGACACACAATAGCACTGGGGTGTGTCAGGAAAACACACACACATCTGGACAAATGGTGAACTTTGAATCCTTCTCTGACACACTGTACAAAATACTTGGTGCTCATATAGCATGGATCGCTATCTAGAGTAAAAATGTCTACTCTAAGACAAAAGCCTAGGAAAACTTCTATCTCTCTCACTTAAGGCAAGACACTCCTCTCCTTTGAAACTTAACTCTTTGCTCTTAAACTCCTTATATGCTAAAAATGTATTTTTCTGTGTAACCCCTGAGGAATCAGGAAAAAAAATTATCCTAGGTTAGATAAGAATCCTTAAATAGCCGCAGACCTTCTTGTCCTCTGAATAAAAATAAATCATCATTTTTTGAATGCCTATTGTTGTAGAATTCTCTAGCTTCTTTGAAAGGACACAAAAGAAATAGAAGACATGACTTATTCCCTTAAGGAACTTAAGTATGAGTTGGGAGTTTTGAATGCACATGTGTGAAAAGGGTTTGTTCACTTTGCACTCAATGCTTTGTCCCATTTGTGTTTTTATCAACAACTCAACTTTTTACTAGATAAGTGCCTCAAAAGCAGGTAATATATTAATTTTTGTTCTCATATACATTGTAACAGCTCAAAAAATATTATTGAATTAATGAGTAGTAGAGTGAGAAGAGAAAAAGATCAATATAAGTTAATTGGAATTAATCCAGAATTGTCTGTGGGAGTCAATTGCCTGGATAGTCGATTCTAATTTTCTCCTCACTCATGAAACCGTTGACACAAGGAGTGTACATTGATCTCTGTACAGAATACTTTTACTTCAATTAACAAATTTCTGTGTGCTTAGTGGTACTTAAGAGCTAAAGGTCAGAAGATACTTGGTGTTCTGCCATTAACTACAGCAACTTCCTCCAGCAGGCCGAGAGATTTTAATTGGGTTGTAGTTGTGTGGCCTATTGTCATATATAGTTGGTGCTTTCATCATTGAAAGGAACTAAAAACTCTTTTTTTTTTTTCTCATTTCCTTACAGATGCCTGACCCCAGAAGACTCTTGTTTCTTCCTGCGACCAGTGGGTTCTTCATTTTACTTCTAATTATAGAAAGATAAACTGTCTGTGACTTTCAAACTGACAAGTACCTTTTTATTCTCGCCCATTTTGAGTCCTCATTTGACGCAAGAAAGAACCCTCATACTTAGAAGAACTGTTTCAAATAAAGCATTGATGTAAATAGCTTCCCCAAGATATATTACATCCCACTCCACATTAATGAAACATAATTATTTAAAGTAATCTTAAAGAGTCCAGCTAAACAAAGCAGTCAAGAAATTTGGGTTGGAAAAAGTAACTGTGTATTTGTGTTCTCTAACACACATGGACCAAATTCTTTTAAGCATTAGTAGGAATGGGCCTTTTCTGATTGATGCGTCTGTTTATCCAGAGTCTCCAAGATATTGATAGCATTTATATAGCAAAATACCCCATTCCTGTTTAGAATCTTAAGGATATCTTGCTCCCTGAATATTTCCAACCTAGGGTAGGTTTCTTTTATTTATTTTATCTCTCCCACACTCCAGCTAGAAATTATACTAGCTATCAAACTAGGTGTGGATTATGTAGGAGTGAAGATTGGCAAGGAGGGGAGGAACCAGTATACATGTGGAAAAGAGATAGGCTTTCCACCTGTGTATGCAATTTGATTAAGCTGCAAAGCTTCAATGTGTGAGGGCCCTGCTGACTACCATGGGATATGTGTATAATAAGTTAGATTTTGAAACATCTAAAGCCCTTGCTATCCTAGCATCTTTTTGGCCCTTACAAGGAGACTTCATAATCTTCCCCAGACCAGTTTTGTGTGTGTGTGGATTATTTTTTGTGTGGTGGTTTTCCAGTTTGGTTTGGTTTGATTTTAAAACTGGCATGGGGAACGATTTGGAATCTGGTATAGATAGGAATTTGGATGAAGCATGCTGACAAATAATTCCAAAAATGATCTCTCTAACATTGTTTGTGGGTAACAGATAAGGTGGAGTGGGGTTTTGTGAAATGCCTCCATCCATGAGTTTTACACAAAACAGGATTCCCTGATGAAGCAGGCTATCTGTTTATTTAGTTCCAATCTCTTAAAATAGGTTCAAGATAAGCCCCAGTACAATAGTATTTCTGCTGCTTAGCTGTGTAATCTTAAGTGAATAACGAGACCGTTTCTTCTGGAGAGGGTGGTAACGTATTGAGGAGGGGGAAGAAATACCCTTTATGCCCCTGATTCTGGTCACTTATGTTTGTGTATCAACACCTCACAAAAATTTTATTTAAATCGTCTTATTATTGGAAAATACAAAACCCCTTTGAGTTCATTTGTTTGGGTGATGACAGAAGAAAACTATCATCTGGTATGGTACGCATATAAGCCAGAACCCCTACCTAGTTTAGGAAAAACAAGCAGGGGCATGAGTCTCATTACAAAGAATTAGCTGCATGAATACAACTTATCAAAGGAATTAAACAATATTTTTTTAAATGTGTTTTTTAAATATCTAAAGAGGCGAGATGGGCTAACATCTATCATTTATGAGAAACAAATGAAGAATCTTACTTTGTTTTCTTAGGAAGACACCTCTTTGCTCATGACTACTAAAATTTAATCACAAAGCATCTGACCTTTTGGAGTGTGAGTAGCACGCACCTAAGGAGAATGCCTGCCTGTGTTAGCTCACAAAATGCACAATCCTGTTGTTTCTTTAGTCAACTAATGATTAAAACAGCCAGTTGGTCTGATCCAAGCTTTCAGAGACTACTTGGGATTTTTATTGGGCCTAGGATTCACTACTCTGGACTTTGTTTCCTAAAGATTTTTAGAGATTCCCAAAAACTAGAACAAAGAACTGACTATCTCTGTCAGAAGCTGGAAGGAGAAGCTTACTTACCTTTGAGACCCTCTTTTTCAGAGCATTACCCTCCCTTTGGTGTATGAACAGTGGAAGTGAAACAGTTGAATATTCTACCTTAATTTCAGTTAAAGTCAAGTGTTAGAGTTAAAGGTTAAATGCAGAGGTGTTTTGAAAGCTTAGCCCAAAGAGCCTTTGAGTCCTGCACTTTGATCTTATGCAAGGCTTCCAGACTCTACCCCAAGGAGAGGATTTGCTTTTTGGAAGATTGCCTTTCTCCTTAGGGGTTCTAGAAGTGCTGTTGTGATTTGCCAGGAATAAACAAATACAGGTAATAAATGATATTTAGCTCTCCTGGTAGCTAACGGTACCTGAGCTAAACAAGGGGAGTATTTAGATTTAATTTCAAATAATATGCTGCAGTACCCTTTCATTGGTGAGACAGAACAGTAGCTGCTTGTGTTAGTCTCTTAGACAAAATACTGGCATTTGTAGAGTCCTCTAGTTCTGCTTTTCACAATTCACATTAAGCTGCAAAGTACGCAGAGACCAAAGAGATAACATTATACTTATTATCACCATTTTTAAAGAGGCAGGTTATAAAAATCAAGGTGATCGGTGGCCTATATTTTAAATGATCAAAGCAGATCTGGCCTTGGGAAGAAGAGACCTTTAAGAAAATACTCATTTTCTTGTGCCTGTACAACGGTAGAATAAGGAAAACTACCTAAATTTCATGAGAAAAGTTCTGTACTGACTGCTCTTTTGATCACTGTCTTCCTGGTACTGTTAAGCTTCAGAACATATTCACATCATCCTCTACAGAAGCCACTGGCCTCTCAGCGAGTCCTAGCCTCTTCAGAGGCCACTGAAGACACATTAACCTGTTACCTCATACCAGCAGTCTCAGCTAACTCTGTTCAGCCATACTGAGGTCTGAAAAATGCAGACCTGTGTGTGAACAGGGCATTTGCCCTTTACTCAGCTATTCCACTGCCTGGCCCAACTCACTTGACTCATGGTCAGCAGATTTGCATTTGTGTTTACCTACCTAGTTCAAAGACTGTCATGAGAAACCAAAATAGTGTTAAGAGCCTTTGAGGAAACATGAAGATAAGTTTAGTTGTCTTATATTATTTAGACACACACACACACACACACACACACACACACACACACACACGAAATAAGTCCAGGTTGTATGAAAAACTGCATATGAACCCAACCATGCCTTTTAATTTTTATTAAAATACTTGTTACTAAAATAACGTATGCTTTCCCGGTTCATCTGTTTCGGTTCTGTTTCCTCAGGCTTTGGCTTCTGGTTTTCATTGGACAGGGGCAGGATTATTTAGCTCCTTGTGCTGGTTTTCTCTACAGTAGAACTTCATAGCAGAGGTGCAAATTGAAAGTGATAGGAAGTCTTGCTCTTGAGATTAGAAGCTCCATTGAGATGTCCTTTTGTTGAATTGGCGATTTCAACAGATGAGTCAGTGTTTTAGCTTTACAAAATCCTAGAAAAACAAGAATTGATATGGTTCCACTAGGTATGTAACTTTGATATCCACCTATCACATTTCATATACTCTTAGAGCAGGAAGGGAGCTTCGAGAGCACCTAACACAAAACTTCATTTTACATATAAAGAAACAGGCCCTAGACAAACGTGTAAACATGACATTTTTTTAGAAAAGGGAAGAGAATGGTAAACACAAAATTCAAGATAGTGGTTATCTCTAGGGAATAGAACCAGGAAAAAATACAGTGTATTAGTAGTATTCTGTTTAATAAGACAGGTAGTGGGTTTCCCCAGTGTTATAATGCTTTATATGTATGTATTAAAAACTGTATACTTTTAAAACATTAAAGAATTATTGCTAAAATTGTTGTACAGTATTTACTGTAGGCAAGCCACTTTTCTTATTTCTTCTTTTACATATGTCAAACCAGAGTTGGGGGACATAGGCCCTGAAAATTTTATCTTTGCCAAGGATACACAGTTTGTGAGTGAGCTGTGACGATAACCTTGGGCTTCTGACTCCTAATTTACTGCTTTTGGTTTCTATAACCATCCTACTTCCCTAAATGTTGATTTTGCGCTCAACCTCTCATGCTTTCAGGCTTTGTGTTGCCTTCTGAACTCATTTCCATGTCTACCAGCTTGGACTCCAAGGTCAGTCCCTTCAGGGGCCTAAATTACCACCCTGAGTTCCCTTGACCCCACTGTTGCTCTGTCTCCGCTTCACCTACCCCGAGTCAAGTGAAACCCACCGTCTCTTACTCTGTTTCTTCAAATCTATCAAGCATAGTGATAGAAAATCACATAAATATGCCAACTGACTCCACTGTAAATGTATGATTTCTTAACTGAGGCATTCGTTCCTGTTTGACTTTTTCAGGTTTACCTGGTTACTATTGCACTCTTTTTTATTGTTCTCGTCAACTTTATAGCCCTTACTTCCCATCCCTACTTTCAGCCAGTGGCTTACCCTAGTGCTCTCTAGAGAAAATACTGATCATCAGACTTAACTCCCTCTTTTCCCAATTTCTAGACTTACCTCTTACAGCATCATTTTTTCCTTTATTTCAGAGATGTACTTCCTCTCCAAGGATAACTCATCCTTGTACCTGTACTATATCCCAGTGTATTATCTATTGATGCATAACAAATTTCCCCCGAAGCACCGTGGACTAAAACAATAATAAACAGTTACTACCCTCAATAGTTTCTACAAGTAAGGAATTCAGGAGTGGCTTAACTGGGTAATCCTGGCTTGGGGTCTTCTATGTGGTTACAGTCAAGATTTCAGGGCTGCAGTTTTCTGAAGACTGAGCCTGGAGGATTTGCTTCTAAGGTGGCTCACTTACATGTTTGCCAAGTCAGCGCTGGTTGTTGGCAGAAGGCCTCGGTTCCTCCCCATATGGGACTCTCCATAGCCTATCTGAGTGTCCTCACAACATGTCAACTGCCTTCCCCCAGAGTGAGTAAGTTAAGAGCAAGGTGGGAGCTGTAAATTCTTCTATGACCTAACTTCAGAAGTCACACTCCATCATTTCACAATATGCTTTTGATTACACTGGTGAGCCTTTTCAGTGTGAGAGGGGACTTCACAGAAGCATGACTATCAGGAGGCAAGGATCATGGGGGGGGGGCACCTCGGAGGTCAGCTATCACACCCAATTTCTCCTACACAATATCCTCCATAAGTTATTTCCTCTTTTTATCTTAATTATATTTCTCTCTAATTCTGTTTTTCTTTATGTGTGTTATATTTTTCATTAATAAATAGGTTGTCTCTAATATTTAAGCTACAAAAATGCTAAGGTTACATTCATCCTTTGAAAAGACACACACACACACCCTGTCCCATGTATCAGTGAGGGTTCAATTGCAGAAAACAGAATCCATTCGAGAGCTTGTCTAAGCAGGAAGGGATGTGTTATAGGGAATTAAATGGATCACAGAATTGTTGGGAAGGCTGAAGAAACAAATTCTGACTGAAGTTCCAAAAATAACTACCAAAGACTGCTCAGGGAGCTGCTACTTCTAGTTAGGGAGCTGTCACTGCAACAGCCAGTTCATGAAGCACACTGCTTACTTCCTCTGCTGTCAGCAGCCCCATATGCATGCCCTACACCCTGTCTTAACCCCTGCTAGCTTCAGAATCCAAGTGACGCACTGGTGCATCTGATTGGCAAAATCTAAATCACATCTAAACCCTAGCTCTAAGGGAATGTGGGAAATGCAGTCTTTAGCTTTCCACCTTCTGCACACTAAAAGAGTGTACATGTTCAGTAAACCAATACATAGAACCCTCCACACTCCCTCTTGAGCTATTTGCTTGCTTGCTTCTTCCCTTAGGTGCCAGATTTCTGGAAAGCATTGTCTGTAGTTGGTCTCCAGTTCCTGCTTACTCCTTAAACCATTGCAATCTGCTATTCTGTCCTCGCTGTCCACTCAACCTCCTAATTTGCAAGACCAGAGGTCTATTTTAGTCCTCCCTGGGGCATTCAAAAAGCAGCAGGTTTCTTGTGATGCTTAGGGAAGGAGCCACATCAATGTTATGCACAAAAGAATTACTTAAGACCACTCTCCTCAAACAGGCCTTGGACTTGGAGGCACTTAGAGCCTTGAGCTTCAACTACCTCCTAGAATTGCTCTTCCCCATACATGAAATTAATGATGTCACAATTCTCCCAGTCTTTTCAGAATTCCCTCACATTCAATTCGTCACCAAATCCTGGCATTTCAGTATCAGAGATAACTTCTGAAACCAACCAGTTCTTTGTATCGCCACTGCCACCGCCTTATTTTCAGATCATCGTTGCTGCCTAGACTATTGGAGCAACCTCCTAAATTGTCTTTTAGCCATTCGGTTTTCCACAGTTCAGTTTATCTTCCATCTGCCTTAGCATAGCATTCAAGATATTTAGTAATCTGTTCCCAGTTTACCTAATAAGAAGAGCAAAGGCTTTTTGAGCATTTGGTATATGCCAAACACTGTACAAAGTACTTTATATGCATTGGCAATTTAGTTCCACGTAACCCCATGAGGTAGATTTTATTAGGTCTCCATTTGGTAGATAAGGTTTTAAACCTTGTCTACACAAGGTTTGACCACAGTTAGTTGCTATATGTAGGAACCAGAATTGCAGTCAGGTGTGCCACCCCCACAGGTATCCTTAATCCCACTGCATTTTATAATGGCTCCAACCTCTTCTCTCCCCACGCTGTTCATAGTCTAGCCATGAACTCACCATCTCTCTAACACAGCGGTTCTCAACCTTCCTAATGCCACGACCCCTTAATACAGTTCCTCATGTTGCGGTGACCCCCAACCATAAAATTATTTTCGTTGCTGCTCTATAACTGTAATTTTGCTACTGTTATGAATCGTAATGTAAATATCTTTTTCTTTTCCTATGGTCTTAGGCGACCCCTGTGAAAGGGTGGTCCGACCCCCAAAGGGGTCGTGACCCACAGGTTGAGAACCGCTGCCTAACACACTGTGCTCTTTAATGACCATACCTTGACACATCTTGTTTCCTAAAACGTACAAGTTGCCTCCCCCTTCCCAACAATTTTCTGTTTAGCATGTTATACCTTCAAGCTCCAACTCAAATATTACCTCCTTGGGTAACTTTTCCAAGCTCTCTAGGCTCCTGCTGTCTGTTCATACTATTTTTAATAGCATTTAGTTGTGTTGTAATTATCTTTTAAATGCCTGTATCAGGGTTTAGAACAAGAAACAGAAACCACTCTCAATATCAATATCTTTTAAGCAGAAAGGAAATTTAAGACAGGTTTATTAAGTGCTTACAAAATCATTTGAATACCCGGAGGAGCGGGCTATAGCTGGGCCCTCTAGCAATGACTCCTAGAACACTACGGAACTAAGCCACCAAGAGAGCTCTAGCATCTGGAATACTGAGCTTGAGAACATAGCACTGCAGCTACGATCCAGGGATCAGATAGCTACCACAAACAATCCCACAACATATATAGAATCAGACCTTTTGCAGAGCTACTGACCAATGTAAACATCCAAATGCATGGTCAGCAGAGGAAGGAAAAAGGAAACTGGATAATCAGTACCTAGGGCATTGAGAGTTTGCTGTATAGGGGATGTTGGGGGTTTTGAATGTCTGTTTTTGTAATAAGATTGAGGTCAATCTTTTTTTTTTTTAAGATTTTTATTGGGGAACTGGGGGAAGGGGAACAGACAAGTTGCTGTCCTTTTGTTCTTCAGGCTAGTTGTGGAGGACGTTGCTTCACTGGCCCAAGTTGGCACCATCATTGCGCTCTTCCCAGGCGAGGCAGATAGTCGCCGGCTTCTGGACAGCCACTCACGGTGGCTGCTGGCTGCTCACGCTGGCTGCTGGCCACACACAGTAGCCCATGGCAACCCACTGCAGCAGGGGCTGCAGCCTATGCCGTTGCCGGCGACTCATGGCAGCCCAGCTCCAGGTTGAGCTGTTGTTCAGCATCTTAGCTGTAGAGGGCAGAGTCACTGGCCCTTATATGTGGGATCCGAACCGCGGCCCTCTGGCGTCCCAAGCCAGCTCTTAACCATCACGCCACTCAGCCGGCCCTCTTTCTTTCTTTTCTTTCTTTTCTTTTTTTTTTTTAAAGGAAGTCAGTTACTTTCAAAATTACCAGAAGAAAGTGCCATATGCCAACCTCCTCACCATCCCCCCAAAAAAGCCAAAAATTTGTTGCTGCAGTACCTGAGTACTAAGTGGTCAGTGGCAGGCAAAAACTACTTGAGAAAAGTGGTTATGAAAGCAGTTAAGAGAGGTAACATTGAACTCTAAGAGTCAGTATAGACTTGAGTCTAAGAATAGCCTTTTGACCTTGGAAACATCAGTTAAATTTGTGCCTCTCTTCTATAAAGTAAGGAGTTTGAACTAGATGACCTCCGAGGTTCAGTCCAACCCTAAAATTTTGTTTTTCTAGTTATTCAGTTGAAAAAGCATTTTTGAAGTAAAGAGGAGGAAGATTATGCAACCACTTCTAGAGCTTGTTTGCTTTTGATCATTCTGTAAAATTTTCCTGTCAACCTGAAAATATTCTGAGGCGATCCAGATGAGGTGAGAGAAGCGGTGGGGGAAGAAAGTAACCTAGAAACTGTTTTTTGCCTTCATCATATTGAATTAAATATAGTTTTTTCAAACAAACAGAGCAACTTGGAGTTCCCTAATTTCCCAAATTGGGTTTTGGTTAATCTGTCCCCAGGAGTTAAGGGGGAAAGAAATCCTTCAAAGAACCATCACTGATTCTAGGAGCTAGAAGGCTCATCACAACCTCAAAAGCCAAGCTTGTTATAAAAAGTGCATTAAAAGAGTCCTCTAGGCTATGTTAGCTAGGCCAGAGATTAAATAGAGTTTTCCACCAGGTCCCTGCAGCCTCCTTTGGGCTATTTGAGGTGCTTGCTGTATTTTTTGGCCTGATTTTTTTTTTTTCCTTCAACACTTGTCCTTCATTCTCTTGCTTCTCTGATGTAAACTGCTTTTCAGAACACCATTTCCAGACAACCCTTCAGATGTTAGCCGAGGGTCAATTTGCCAAACTGTTTTTTGCTGTTATTTCCTTCAAAATAAGAAACTGGTGCTGTCTTCAGAGAATGCTGTGGTGTTACAGGAACGGCGGCGCACTGCCCTTCATTTCTCCCCTGCTAATACGCTTTCTTAGTTTGCTTCAAAGCTTGTTTACCAACTCTAGCTTAGCCCCTGACTCTCCTCCCTTTACCCCGCCCCCTGCATTGTGCATTTCAAAAGGTAGAGAAAAATAAATTCTTCTCAGCTCTCTCCAGTGAAGACTGCAGAACCACCAAGGCCAATGTGTCAAAACTGTAATGCCTTCATCAAACCTTTGCACAGAGGTATTTCAGGTTAGCAAAAGAAAAGACCATCTTAACGTGTAACAAAACCTCTTTTCTAAGGGCCTCTAACAGATAAGGAGGCCCCAGGGCTGCCTCTCCTTGGTGCAGAAAAAAATGAGATCAGAGTGAATGAGCAGGGTTTAGTTCTTAGCCAAGGATGATACAAACTCTAGTGTTCCATCTATTGCTACATGCAGCCAAATGAAATGGGATGTACACATGAGGATTTGTTATAGTTACAGTCCTACCCTCAGGCCATTTATAGTCAAAGGCAGTGTTTCTCAAAGCATAATCTACATATCACCTACATCATAATTACTTGGGTGCTTATTTTAAAATGCAGATTCCTGGGCGATGGTCCAGATTTCCTGAATCAGAATACCTAGAAGTAGCACTCAGGAATCTATTTTTCGTAATACACCTTATACTCGTATAATTACGATGCACAAAGTTTCTGAAACTACATATCACTTTGAATAAATAAAGGCTTTTTAGGAATTTACAAGGAAGATAATTATACTATTTGAGCTTTTAAGGACTCAAGCAAGACACACTAATCACAAAGAGTGGTGATTATGAACATGAGGATAATAAAGGTACACTACCTAAATCATAAGACGATTTAAAGGTATAAATGGGAAAAAATGCATTAAAGTTTTTGAGAGTGTTAACAATAAGCACTCAATACATTTTAGCTATAATGAATAAACTGAAGATACCTAACACGCAGGTGACATGGAGTATATGCAGCATAAGATTATCCCCATACACTGTTTTAGCTCCTTGACTTCTTCCTTTTAAAGCAAAAATTTGAGGGGTTGGCCAAGTGGCTCAGTTGGTTAAGAGCTTGCTCAAGAGTTTGAGCTCTGAGCAACAGCGGTTTGATGCCCGGCCCGAGCTGAGCTGCCACTGAGCTGCCAACAGGTAGCAGGATGGCTCAGCTAAAAAAATAAAGCAAAAATTTGAAAGATGCTTAAAGGGTATCCTTTCAGTCAAGGTCAGGCATCCAAACATTTTTTTAAATGACTGCTTTTTACTCAATTTGGGTAGGTCACAGTGTCACCTGGGAAAGAAAAGTAAATTTCTGGATCTGATTTGTTTTCCTAGCCCTCTAACCTCCCTGGATTGATATTATCGATCGTATGTTCTGATCAATTTTGAAGGGTATTTATTGACATTGTCCCACTTCACCAATAAAGGATTCATTTGAGAGCTGTCACTACTTGTAAATGACCTTCACTTCTGAAGATGGAGCCCAGGGACTCTCGGAATTCCCTAGCCCTCTGTTACAAAATCGACTGAATGATTGCTCATGGGTTCTAATGGATTTGTCTTTGCTAGTGGGATGGGAAGAGGAGAATGAAAAGAATGAAGAGAATGATGACTATGAAGAGAACAGTAGAGGACACCCTCAGGCTCTCCCATATCTGAATCACATAGGGGACAGCGGGGAAACAAATAAGGGCACATCTTTCTCTAAGATTTCCTTCTTCCTTCCCCGAAGGCTAACAGGGTCCCTGTGATCTGTGCCCAAGTATAACCCCACCTACCTGCTGCTTTTGTCCGTGGGCATAGTTAACCAATGTGAGGAGGGGCACAGATTTCAACCACCCTACACCTAGGGCAACTGACGCAAGGAGGTGAGCCCTTTAGCCTCTGAGAGATGTTTGACAAGGAAAGGACTGCATATGGAGGAAATCGAACCTGGGTCTACCTACCATCCAATCTCCTGAAAGGCAGTCTCCCAAGAGAGAAAACTGTAACCTCAACAGATTCTGAGAAGGAAGAATTCAACCTTGAAATGAAGGTGAAGTATTGGTGAAGTTTTAGCCTTTATGTTCTAAAGAGCTGAGAGAGGGTTGTTGATCTCCTGATGACCAGCAGATGGAGATACAGCCTAAGGCTGCCTGGGACTGCAGTGGAATTTATTGGGCAATAGGCAGCTTCTGTACTCTGAAGCCTGTGGGGAAGCAGGGTGCCTTTTCTGCTTCCTAGTTCCCACTCATTCTAACCCATATACACCCCATTTCTCTTCCTTCCCTGTCTTAAACCTTTGGCCTGAGACTGACCTGTCAGCTTCGGTAGCAGGCTAAGAAGGGGTGATACAAAGGACTGTATGGTGGGGGAAAGATGAAAAGGAGGGATCACAGAGACATTTGAAGCACTTACCTGAAGTCCAGGTCCTGTGCTGTTTAGCATAGATTCTAGGTTAGCAGTGAGCTGTCCTTCCTGCCAATCTGGAAAAGTCAGTATCTTAAATCGTGGAGGAACCACCCTCCTAAAACTCCCACACATACACAAATCTAAACACAACACAAGCCAGGACCAGCAGACTAGGTAAGATGCAGCAGCATAGGTAGCCAGCCAGCCAGCCATCTGGCATCCATGGATGCCAGGCATCAAGTTAATGCATGGATAGGCACCTGCCCTGCCCGTGGGCACTAGGCCATGACTACCAGTTGGATACAATCAGTCTGCCAACGTGAAGGGCATCCCAAGGCAATGTGCCCATTGGCTTCCCCTGACACAAACTGCATGAAGGCCAGAGCTTCTGAGAATCCACCTGCATGTGGAGAAATAGACTCAGTTCCCCACTGAGAGCAGCAGGAGACAGGGAGGCAGGAAAGGGGAATACCTCTCTCTACCTAAAAACAAAAGCAGCGGCTCTTCACCCTTCCAATGGAAAAGTCTAGAAATGGACCTTTCTGAATATGACCCAGAATGACATTGGGAGTTAGTGAGATAAAACCGGAATATATGATGGAAAGTAGAGTGAAGGCAAATGTGGCATGGTAGAAAGAGCTAACTTGGAATAAGGACACTGCATTCTATCCCACATTAGCTGTATGACCTTGGGCAAGTCATTTCTTTTCTCTGGGCCTCAGTTTCCTTATCTATAAAACCAGGACATTGGGCTAGATCAGGGGTTGGCAAACTTTTGAGACGGAAGAGCCGCCCGCCAGGGGTCAGCAAACTGCGGCTCGCGAGCCACATGTAGCTCTTCGGGTACGTACATGTGGCTCTGAAGTAAAATCGAAAATGAAAATGAAAATATAGTTTCATTTATAATATTACTTTAAATTTTCTTTATTTGTAAAAATATATTTATGGCCCTCGAATAATTTTTTAATTGTTGTGAAGGACTGGATCGGCTCTTCCAGGGGTCGGCAAACTTTTGAGACAGAACATACCCAAAGAGCCGCATGTGGTTCGTGAGCAGCAGTTTGCCGACCCCCGGGTCAGATGGTATCTAGAATATCTTCCTCTTCCAACATCTGCTATCAATTTTGAAAAGTGATTGATTTTCCCTTGTTGAGGGTGACCAGGCTAGCCCCCGCGAAACCCCAGGCATAAGCTATGTCTAAGCTAAGGAGGTAACCATGTACTAGAGGAGTGGGGGAAGTGACAGTTGTGAGTTCCCAATGTCCCTACTCCCACAATCTCTGTTCCCACACTAGGCACCCACCACCACAGGGATTTGAAGGTCAGAGGCCCACACCTCCCAATCCTCTCTACACTGAAAGGCTGGAGACTCTAGACAAACTTGTAACTAAGAGAATAAGCTACCATGTCAAAAAGAAAATGATGCTCATCTGGGTAACATCCACTGTATTACTATAGGTTGAGTTTGTGTTTAACACGGTTCTGTCTCTGATCTCTGCTCTGTTGCCCCCAGAACTGCCCTTCCTCACTCACGTTCCTTCCTGCACATTCACACCCACAGTGGGCTGATTCTGTTGGTTCAGGCTGCCTGTTCAGTGTTCACCTGGGTCTTGTGCCTGAATTTATTCTGTGAAGAGAGGCATCCCTTTCCTTTCTCCCCAGGCATTGTCCTACTTCCTTTGCCCAGGTGAGTTTCCATAGGATATTGGAAACTCCTCATTTACCAAAGCATCCCTATATACTTGGGCTTAAGAATTGAGAACAGAGACTTTGGGAAAATTCCAGAATGACAAATAACAATACTCACCTGAGACCTGAGTTCTACTTCCTTGTTCTCACTTCCACTCTAGGGAATCTTAAATACTCAGGGAAGAAAAAATGGTCAGAATAGACTGATTCACTCTTGTTTTTTCTCATTTAGTTGCATTATGCTGAATTTCATCTTTCATATTTCACCAGATGTTTTAGGATGCTCTAATCTCCAAGTTAGGGGGCAGGGAGGTGATTGATGCAATAACTTGAAGTAAAATGAGTATAAGACGAATCCTACTTCAAGGAATTTATAGTCTATATAGTTATCTATTGATGCATAACAAATTACCCCCAAAATGTAATGGCTTAAAGCAAAAATAAACATTTATTCTCTCACACAGTTTCTGTGGGTAGGAACTCAGAAGCAGCTTAGCTAGGTGGCTGTGGCTTGATGTCTCTCATGAGGTTGTAGTCAAGATGTCACTTGGGGCTGCAGTTACCTGAAAACTTGACTGGGGTTGGCCGCCTTGTGCTGCAAGATGACTCACATAAGTGAACTCAAATTCTGACAAGTTGGTTCTGGCTTTTGGTTAAAGGCCTCAGTTCCCCTCCACATGGGCCTCTCCATAGGGCTGCTTGAGTGTCCCCATGAAATGGCAGCTGCCTTCCTGCAGAGCAAAAGTTCCAAGAGAAAGACCAAGGTGGAAACTGCAATATCTTTTATGACTTAACCTGGCAAGTTACACGTGTCACTTCCATGGTATTGTGTTGATCACACAGGCCAGCCATGATTGAATTTAGAAAAGGAACACAGAAAGAGTATGAATACCAGATGAGAATCATTGGGCCATCTTGGAGACTGGCTACCACATAACCCATCTGGAATTTCAAAGTTATCCTAAATAATATATTATGCTAAATAGAAGAGGTAGGATGTTTATAAATCTGCAAGGAATTTGAATATGCGCATGATAGAACAAATCTCATAGCTTTTCACAAAATGCCCTTAAATAAACTAGATTTCAGCAGATTCTATTTTCATTGAAACTTGGTTCAATTTTATTTTTGAGCTCCTTGAAAACATTCTTCAGAGTAGGCTAAGAGAGTTCATGAATTGCTTGGTGATCTTTATTCAGAGAATGTAGTCCATGTTGCTATAACAAAGAGACCCACAAATAGAGTGGTTCAAATGAAGTAATAGTGCAAAAGTAGATGGGGTAAAGTCTGTGGCTGGTAGAGAAGGCTTGCTTAGTTTGTCACCATGTCCAGCAAGCAGAAGGAAGAAAGAGAAAGTAGTGGGGGTCAATCAGCTTTCCTTTTTAATAACATGACCCAGAAGTTACACACACTGCTTCACTCACATCCCAAAGACCAGAACTTAGTCATGTGGCCACCCACTACTGCAAGGAGACTGGACAGAGTAGTATCTAGCTGGCAGCCATGTGCCCTGCTAAAACTCAGTGTGTGGGTGGCAGGGTGGAGGGGGTAATACTATTAAATGGAAGAAGAGGAGACTGGATGCTAGGAGGCAGTGATCTCTGCCACACCTACAAAATATAATTCTGTGGGGACAGGCTAGGTGACAAAGGTTAACAAGTAATTGGACCACATTTCCAGATATATTTCAAGAATTGAATATACATTAAAAGCACGATAGCAAGAAGAGCTATCTTGCTTGAGGACTATCTTATTTAAAAAAAACAAACATAAGTTATTTGTTATACAGTTCAGAAATCACTGTGTTATGTTTACTATTGCTTTTTTAAAAAGGCTCAATTTATTCAAATAATATTTACTGATCTAGGCAATGTGCTAGACAATGGAAAAACAGAAATAAACAAGATCCTTACCTCACTGAATTGAATCAAGTGGGGAAGACCATTAAACAAGGAGATACAATGCAGTTGGGGTAAATGCTATGACTAGTGAAATCTGGGGTACTGGGTGGGGGATCAAGGAAAGCTTCTTGGGTAAAATATATGGTGATGGAAGGAGAACTGACTCTGAGTGGTGAACACACAATGTTATTACACGATGTTATTATACATGATGTATTATAGAATTGTACACTTAAAACTTATGTAGTTTTGTTGACCATTGTAGCCCCAATAAATTTTAATTTAAAAAAAAAAGGAAGGCTTCTTGAAGGAAGTAATGTCTGTGCTGAGAATTGACCTATAAAATACGTTTCATCCAGAGAACACATCAGACTTTGAATAGATTTCAGATTCATCAGACAGACTGAATGAGGCTTTAATATTTGCAGTCAAGCACTGCGGTAGGTAATTGTACATATGTTAGTTTAATTCTCCCAACAAATTTACGAAGAAGGTATTATCTCCATTTTACAGATGAAAATACAGGGAGGTTAAGTAACTTGCCAAGGTCACATATCTATTGAGTAAGGGAGGCAGCATTCAAACAAAACCATGTCTTCTTTCCAGTATAACACACACCCTTCTTCTGCAAATTAAAAGCACATTAACAAAAAGCAAACGTTAGCATTAAAAATTCTATGGAATATGCTTTCATACAATGTTTATAGTTGCTTCTATCATGTGTACATCCAAATATATTCAATTTCTAAGTTGCACAAGGACTTTATAAATACCCTGTATAATTAAGTGTTAGACTGTGGAGTCCAGACTAGAAGCAGGAATTTAGAAGAGTGGGACATTACTGAGAGTTAGAATGAGCTGGGGAACCTTCTGCAGGGCTTGGGTGGGCCTTGATGAATGATACAGAGGACAATGCATTCCGTCAGATGCTGGAATCCCAGGAGCCAAGCTAACCTGAGCACATCAGTGAGACAATACTGAAACACTGCGACTCGAGTTACTGCAATAGAGGGTATATTACAAAGCTTTTTCTGGTTTTCAGAGGTGGGAGAGCAGGGAAGCCTTGATGCCAGTTTACCCTCATTTAAGTGGCCCTACCCCCTCCCATTTTCTTGGAAAAAATGTATTTCAGCATTCTCAAGATCTCCCCTGCTTCAGTATTATTACATTGTCACTTTGTATATCAAAAAACATATATTATTTTCCTAATGCTGGCCTGGGGGCTGTACCAGCTGACACACACACACAATTCTTGTTCCATTAAAGCTTCCAGACTAATGGGGTTGCAAAAAAACAATTCAGAGAACAGAATGAGGCAAATTTAGCCCCAAATAAAAACATCATGGTTCCTTGTTAGATGTCAAAGTGCTTCTAGTTACACCACGTTGGGGCCATGACCAACTCCTTTACACAGAAGAGAACACTAGGCATGGGTGGAATGGTTCCAGGCTGGATGAGGTTACTTATGCCCCCAAGTCCCCATAATAAACCCAGAACAGTTACCTGGAAAAGGGCTGACCGAAGGAGCACCTTTCCTCCAGAAGAACCCTGCCTCTCCTGTCTTTCCCTTCAAATGAGCATTGAGTGGAAAACTGACCAAAGGAGGAAGTAGGAGGTGCTATTAGGGTCAGACAGGACCCAGCAACCTGGACCCAAGCCAGCGGAAAGCACCATTGTCTGAGTTGCTTTCTTGGCTTTCTGCCCACAAACACCTACCCCGCCCAACGTACTCAACCCATCTCATGCCTCCTGCGTCACCTCCTCCATCACTGTGGTACTGCACACCAGGAAGACAACAGACCCCCAAGGGTCTCCTAAAGTGAGAGGGAAGATCATCCAGACCTCTCCCCAGTGGAAAAGGGCAAAAGAGATGAGGTCACTAGAGGAGGATGTTTCCTAATGAAGATCCGGGATACTCTCATCTGTCTCAACCCCCCACTCCTTTCTCCTAGTGCAGTTTGCTGCCCTGGACTCTCTGGGGTTAGATGAAGGAAGAGTGGGGAGTGTGCCTCTGGGTGTCTGTGCCTCTAGGCAAGTCCCAGCTGTTTTATTTGTGGGAGAAGAGAATTCAGCTCTTCTGGGTGTGGCTGTGGGTGTGTCCTGAGTGGGATGAGGAGTCTACAACACAGTTCTGTTAAGATCTCCGGGCTGCCTGCCCTACCAGCTCTGACCCTGAGCCCATTTCATGACGCTAATGAGACCAGATTTGTATTCCCAGCTAATTCCTATTAATTCCAGTTCCCAACCACCCGGTTCCAACTCCTTGGTCCCTCCCCCATACCCACACTCACTCCTCTGGCAGGATAGCTGGGCTTTTGGCTGGGAACTGAGCTCAAAGCGGAAATGGGCAGTTAGGAGGTGTGATTTATGTCTCTGACTTCACCCCAGGCTGGAGCCCAAACTCTTGGACCCTCCCCCCAAGTGCCTGTTTGGCAAATTTCCTCCTCAGAAATTTCAGGCTCTTCTAGCTGGTCAGAGGTCAATCAGGTGAACCACCCCATCTTACTACCATCCCCCCTCCACCATCACTACACTCATACTTCCACCTCCTGGGGACTGGTGATGAAAGAATGCATGAACTTTACAATCACCAACAGGAGGCAAGAGTCCCCTATCAGCCACAAACAATAGGGAAGTCCCACTACATATCTAATTTCCTTATCTCCTGCTGCTGGGCCAATAGTTAGTGGAAACAAATGGCAGCTTGTTCACTCAGAATTCTGCCTCTGGCCTCACAAGATCCTTTTGCAGATTTACAGTAATCCCCAACCCTATGATTGTTTCTATCTCAAAGACTTCTCAGAAACATTCTCAAAGATATCAGAGTGTCATTTTCTCCTGATTTGTAACATGTCTGGTGACTTTCGTGTAGATCTTCATCTCCCATCTGTCAAGGGCTGGAACACGCACCTACCCTCCCTTCAGCTAAGCCAATTCTGAACCTAGAGCCAGAAAAGATTTTCCTGGGAAGTGAGAGTCCCCTAACTCCTTCCAGGGCCTCCCAATCAAAAGTCCTTTAGCAATCAAAAAGTCCTATTAAAAATCTAATTTCCCCTTTTCCTCCTCTGTCAGGTTCCTCATCAATCATATTAATTTTAGAGGGTTTTGGGGGGAATTAAATGGAGACATTGACATAAAAGATATACAAAATGCTGCCTCAGAATTATTTTAAAGTTAAATGAGGTAATATTTGTAAAATGCTTAGATCTGTACCTCGTACTTGTCAGGTGACATTGGCACATATCTTTAAATGTTAATTTTTCTCATAGTACCTCAAAAATTAAGGAGGGACCTGAAAGTTTGCCCTTCCTAGACATCTAGAGCTCACACTTTCATTATAGCCTTCCTAAATGAGAAGCTCAGATTCTTAGGATTTAATTTCTTCCCCCACCCCCCAAGATTTAATTTCTTTTTTTTTTTTTTTTTTTTTTTAGCTGAGCCATCCCGCCACCTGTTGGCAGCTCACGGCTGCTCAGCTCGGGCTGACTCGAACTGCTGTTGCTCAGAGCTCAAACTCTTGAGCGAGCTCTTAACCAACTGAGCCACTCAGCCGGCCCCCCCAAGATTTAATTTCTAAAGGTACACAGTCGAATGAATGAATGAATGGGTCCATCCATTCACTTTTCTGGGTCAGGCCTTGCCTGGCCTGGCTCTCTTCCCATCACCCCCTGCAGAGCCTTTCCCCCAGAGCCCTGAGCTCATCCTAGTTACCAAGTGTTTGTTTAGCCCTGGGTGGACTCCAGCCCCCACGCTGG